AGGTGGGGTCAGGCTGAGCGCGCGTCGCCCCAGAAACGCGGGGCGGGAACGGGGCGCAGGTGCCCGGGCGCTGTGATCTCGCCCCAAACAGGCCTGAGATGGGCTGGGACGTACCTCCCCCCCCCCCAAAAAAAAAACCACACACGCGATTCTCAGATTCAGTTCAGCAAACGCTGAAAACAGGAAGGTGTGGGAGGCTCCGCGCGGCCGCCGGGGCTGGACTTTGGGCTGGAGGGGCGGGCGTGCAACCGGCCAGAGGAAGGTCCGGCTTCCCCGGGAGGAAGGCGTGGACGCAGATAACTGGGACTGGGATTTTGGGGGAACTTGAGGCTGCTCCGGCACCACCAGCACCACCTGGCTCCCTTCACCTGCCCCTCTGGGCCGGTGGGTGCGGCCGCTTCGGCTCCAGGAGCCAGCTTAGGGGGAAAGCATCTCCCCTGAGGGACCCGAGCTGCAAGGTCAGCGCCCAGAGGAGCTGGCTGCAGCCTCAGGGGGACCCCCGGTGAGAGGACCCCGGGCTGTGCGCAGAGGCCAAGGCAGGGCCAAGAGCCACCTGCTGTCTCCAGGGAAGGAGAAGAGGGAGCAGCAACCAGGGGCGTCCCTGGGTCCTCGGGCCCGGGCCTGATGGAGAACCTAGGGCTCCCTGGGCACCTGGAGCACACTCGTCCCACAGTGTCGGTGGTGGCACCTCAACTTAGAAGAGAAGTACCCCCAGGCGCTGGAAGCCTGGCCCTTCCAAGGACACTTCTCGAGGCCAGGAGATAATCACGTATCTTAAAGTCCAAAATCCACCCTGACTGGGTGGCTCGTTTGGTTAGAGCGCCGACCGGATTCGCCACGGTCGCAGGTTCTATCTCAGGTCAGGCCACATACAAGAATCAACCGAGGAGTGCGTGAATGAGTGGGGCAACAAGTCGGCCCCTCCCCCTCGCTCTAAAATTAATAAATAAAAATTTAAAACTAAAAGTCCAAAACCCGACACTCTCTCTGTAGATATAAAGACCCACAGACATGGACGGTTGGCGTGCGGATGACGGGAGTCATGAGGAGCGGTAAGTTCTGTGACGTGCATTTTTCCAGCCGCTCTGTGCCGGGCACTGTCCCCAGGACCGAGGTAACCAAGTGCCGCCAACTGGAGCACTATCTCTAGCAGCAAAACGGATGAGTAATCGGTGGTGTTTTCATCGTGATTCCACGGCAGAGGAGATGAGCTGCAGGTGACTGTGTCCCCAGGGATGATTCTACAGCCTTAACCTCCAACAAAGCACCGGACACGGCAGAAAGCATGCGTGTCTGCCAGCCAGGCCGACAAAAAGGTGTGAACATCATGTGTCATTGACGAATTCACGAAATGTGTGATGATGTCGTACAGACAAGAAAAGGAATGAGCCCGGCCAGTGTGGCTCAGTGGTCAAGCATTGACCTAGAATCCAGGAGGTCACTGGTTCGATTTCCGGTCAGGGCACATGCCGGGTTGTGGGCTGGATCCCCAGTGGGGGGAGCAGGAAGTGGCCAATCAATGACTCTCATCATTGATGTTTCTCTCTGCCTCTCCCTTCCTCTCTCTGAAATCAATAAAAAAAATTAATTAATTTTTTTAATAAAAGCTGCTCACCTCCTCTGGGGAGAGCCTGAAAAGACCGAGCATCGCGCAGGAAGTCCCCGGTTGAGGTCAGGAGTTTCCAAGACGTCCCAGCCAGCAGTGGGAAGAGGTCACGTCTCTGCTGCCAGGATGACTTCAGGCTCTGGAATCCCCCAACCTCAAAGGGCAGCTTCTCCTTCCCCAAGAGGCCAGAATGCGGACCCAGGGGGATCCCTGGCCCCAAACCAGCGGGGTTGGAAGTCACACCTGACACACACACACACTCCTCCTGGGGCTCCCAACTCAGAACACCTGTCCTGGCTCCCAGGTGAGACCATGTTTCTCTCCTGAGCCCGGAGCAAAGGGCCAGGTCACCCAGCCTGTGTGAGGGCCAGGTGTGGGCACTGGCTGGAACCAGGCACCTGCTGAGATGGGCCAGGAGTGGGCTCCCTACTCAGGAGCCCAGGCCTCTGTCTCTGGCTGGGAGACCAAGCTCTGCCCACACCCAGTGTTTGCAGTGGACCAGGAGTCCAGGGCCCTGCGTTTTAGTCCCAGTTTAGGTCTGTGACCTTGAGCGAGTCACTGTCCCACTCTGGGCCTCCTGACCTTGACTGCAGATGCTGTCCCAGGGGTTCTGAGCTCACGCTGCTCAGCCCTGGCCTCAGGGACCCCCAGGCCAGCTCAGGGGTGGGTTGTGGGAGCAAGAGCCTCTCCCTCACGTCCAGTGATGGGCCCTGCAGCCGGCACCCGTGGGGCTTTCTGAGGAGAGAGCCCAGCTGGGTCAGGAGAGGAGGCGGCCATCAATACTGGTCCTGGCGGCCTGTCCTGGGCCTCGGTAGCCTGCTCACCCACCTGGAACGAAACTGCCCCCCTGGCCGTCCAGCCCGGAGTCTGCGGGGAGTCTGACTCACTTCACGGGGGGCCATTGGGGCTAATGTTTAACTGGCTCCCTCCTCGTCAGGGCACTTTAGCCCTAGCAGCCCTGAGCACTGGGCCTGCTGCGAGGCGGACAGACAGACAGTGCTCGCCCCCTGGCCCCTGGAGGAAAGGGCCAAGTCGGGGAGGGGGCTACAGCTGGCCTCCCGAGGCCTCGGACAGGCAGGGGTAGTGGCAGGTGGCATCAGGTCCATCTCCAGCTGCAGAGGAGGTGCTCGCCAGCTGTTGTGTGTGGCTTTGTCACCGACAGCCCCCCAAGTAGCCCCCTTCTCTTCACCCGGCCCCAGTGAGGCCCGGGAGACCTCTCCTGTGATGTCATTTGCACAATTCCCCTTGGGCAGGACTGCTGCACCTCCCCAGGTGCAGGTGCAGGGCCCTGACCCCCAGCCGGGTCCCTGAGGAAGGTGGCTGGTTGGGCTCCGTTGACACAGATCTGAATCCAGAAAAGCTCAACCCTGAGGCCGGCTGACCCAGGTTCCAATCTCCAACCTGCGGCCCCCAAACCCTGTAACTGAGGGTGAATTACCTCAACCCCCCAAGCCTGTGTTTCCTCCCCGTCCATCTGAGTCACAGTATCCACCTCTTTCTGAGGTTTTTCTGAGAACGGGGTGATATAATTCTGACAAATCAGCAGCATCTTATTTATTATTATTAAAATAGTGACTGAGAGCCCAGCCTGCGTGGCTCAGTGGTTGAGCGTCGACCTGTGAACCAGGAGGCCGCAGTTCGATTCCCGGTCGGGGCACAGGCCCGGTTTGCGGGCTTGATCCCCAGTCGGGGGCACGCAGGAGGCAGCCGATCAATGACTCTCATCATTGATGTTTCTCTCTCTCCCCTTCTCCCTTCCTCTCTCTGAAATCAACAAAAACATATTTTTTAAAAATAGTGTCTGGGAGTGTGGACTCTGACAGGCCTAATGGGTGAAGTCCTGGCTCCTCTGTTTACTGGCTGAGTGACCATGGGCAGGTGTTAACCGCTTTGTGCCTTGGTTTTCCCATCTATAGAATGGGGGTGTCCTAGTACCCTTCATGTGCTTGTGAAGGTTGAGTGAGTTAGGTATACAGAGCAGTGCCCTGCATGTAGTGGCCCAGCTCTGCTCTCCTGGGTCCAGTCTGGGTCCCGCTGGCTCTCCATGGTGGGAAGATACACCATGCCTCCTGCCCAGGCCCCCTCCATGGCTGTAGCTAAAGTCCCAGCCCCTCCCCAACGTGCCCTTCACCCAAGGGAGCCCTGTGCCGGAGCCTCCTCCCCTGGTCCTCTCAGGGTCTCCCAGGCTCCGTGCCCACAGGAGGTGGGCTAGCCTAGCCCTGCGCAGAAACTGGAGGGACCTGCGGCCGGCCCTTCCCCAAAGGGCCCTCGTCTTGGGTGTGTGCAGCAGGCCCCACCTCCTCCGCCCACGGGCTCTCTGCACCCAGGTGTTTGTTTTGAGTCAGGCCTGGGGCTGGTCTCCCGTCTTATAGGGCAGGGTGGGGACCCCAATCTGCTGGGGCCCCAGGTGACTGGTCAACTGGTAGGACTGAGATTTGGCCTTGAAACCTGGGGCTCGGCTCTCGCAAAGGGCTTACAAGAGACAAAGCAAGGAGAAGCTTTGGACCCAGGCTAGCTGGGAGGCGCCCCGGGAGGCAGGGAAGGGGGGCTCTGTGGCTGCCTGGGCACGACGCCCCGCCCCATCCTCTGTGGCTCAAGGGAGCGCCCGTCAGGTGTGTGTGTGGGTGGGTGTCACTGGGCGGGCCTGAGGGTTTCTGGGTATGGTAAGAATTGAGTCTGCCTTTGTGCCCACAGAGCTGCTTGTAGCAGGAACCGCAGGCACATCTCTGCCTCCCCGGACGCATCCCATTGCTGTTCCCTCTCTGGCTGGTGGCGAGGCAGCCCCGGGTGCCAGACCCTGCCCTGGAGAAGAGTTGGCACTGCCCTTTGCACCTGCTTTTCTGGCATTTATGACAGACAATATGCTGGGGGCAGAGGGCAGGCAGGGACATGCAGGCGGGCAGAAGGGGGCTCCTCCTCTCCTGGGATCAGCAAGCCAAGGGGCCCAGGTCAGGGACCAGACACTTCCTTTGTGGGCTTGGCTCTGAGGTCTGCAGCACAGGCACTGGGTGTAGGGGCAGGGAGGCTGCCCCAGTCCTGCCATCCACCCCAGCAGGCCGACGCAGCTCCCTGGGCTTTGGGTCCAGACGCAGGTCGGATGGAGAAAGGCCTGAACCAGAGGACAGACCACTGCTGCCCCATGGGGGCAGGGGGATTGACCTGTCCAGGGGTGTGAAGGAAATAACCAATAGCCTGGGCGAGGGTGGATGCCGGTGGAGCCAGCCAATGCTGGAGGGACCAGGGAGCCCCAGGGACGAGATGGACAGGCGCCACCCCCTGGTGGCCAGGTGCAGAACTGCTCTGTGCCCGCAGGCCCCGGGTCCCGAGCTGAAATCTCCCGACCTCTCAGCCCAGAACAGTCAGGAACCCCAACATCTCAAGGAGAGGGGCCCAGGTTTGCAGAGGAAGGGGCTGTGGAATCAGACCAATGGGCTTGGAATGCAGAGGGCCCTCTGGATGGCTGGAGCCTGGGGGGCTGGGGCTGTTTCCAAGGCCAGGGCTTGGGTGAGCTGTGCACCTGGGGGGTGTGGGCGTGCCGTGTGAGGTCACCAGGACTGGGCAGAGGGGTCCCGGGGGACCTAAGCGGGCTGATTCCTCAGCCTTCATTCTGACCGAGCTGCTGACTGGAGCCCCAACAGCCCTCTCTTCATAGACTCCCCGAGAGAGACACTGGCAACACTGGGATTTTAATGGAGGGGCCACCGTGTCTGTGGCCACTGTGCTTGTCATAGCAGTGGGGGAGGGAGTGGCGGGCGGGGGGAGGTGCCACCCCAGGCCGGGGTGAGGTTTTCAGACGCTGGTGCTCTCTGTGTCTGCTGATCCCGGTTCCGGTTCCCGAAGACCAGGACGCTTCCCGGGGTGAAGAGAGAGGTGGGGG